ATATACTGTATTTTATTAACATCTTGTCAGGACCATATACTGTATTTTATTAACATCTTGTCAGGACCATATACTGTATTTTATTAACATCTTGTCAGGACCATATACTGTATTTTAAATTGCGGAATGTTTTCTTGTAAAACTTCACCAATATGTTCATGATGACCAGACCATGTGTTATTTGGTGGACGTGCTGTAGATATCAAGACTTCCTGCTATGTACTTAACGCGTAATAGTCTATATGCTTATCAGAGGCCTACAAAGTCGCACAACACATATCTAAAAGACAACCAGTACAAAGATAAAGACTTTGTAACTGATAATACATTGGGTTCATTTTTTTTGTTCAGAGCTCTATGTAAAATTAGCCTTTGTTAAATATGTTGCCATTTTAAATAAACTTTGGTTGCCATGAGGTCGAATGGTTTATCAGCATTGAGCTCCTCTGAGTTGGGAGATGTGCCCGGTTTGATCCCCAGCATTGAGTACATCCTGTGTCAAGATCTCTGAACAAGGTTTTAAAGTAGCATCATTGATATTGCTTATAATCTCAGAGCGGGCTTGGCAAAATTATCACCTATCTTTGTTTCAGTGGTCTATATGATTGTATGGACCACCATTAGGACGTAAACCTTTAGGAAGTTGTTACTGGTCATAAAGAAAAATGGTATTTCTCATAGCTTTCATATCCAGTGCCACTTGTTCAAGATTTGTCACTCCTAGGGTATGATTTCTTTGTCACTCCTAGGGTATGATTTCTTTGTCACTCCTAGGGTATGATTTCTTTGTCGTTCCTAGGGTATAATTTCTTTGTCACTCCGAGGGTATGATTTCTTTGTCACTCCTAGGGTATTATTTCTTTGTCACTCCGAGGGGATGATTTCTTTGTCACTCCTTGGGTATGATTTGACATATAAATCATACCCAAGGAGTGACAAAGAAATCATACCGTAGGAGTGACAAAGAAATCATCCCCTCGGAGTGACAAAGAAATTATACCCTAGGAATGACAAAGAAATCATACCCTCGGAGTGACAAAGAAATCATACCCTAGGGTATGATTTCTTTGTCACTCCTAGGGTATGATTTCTTTGTCACTCCTTGGGTATGATTTATATGTCAAATCAAGGATGACAAACTACTGTCAATGAACCCGACTGTAATAATAGGATGGGAAAAAAGTAATCGAATTGGTGTGACAGAAAATTCTCCAACCCTCATGATGATATTCCCAAAAGTGTTATTCCCGGTGAAGCCTCGGGTAAGACAATCAAGAATATCATCCCTCGGGTTGGAGATTTCTCTGTCACACACTCACGGCGGGGAAGATTGTATTAGTCACCCACTGATGATATTATTATGAAGGATCCCTGTGGTACCACTGTCACAAAGCAGAAGCTATGCATTCAACACTCATTTTTCCATCATGACTTTAGTTTTGATAAATCTTTCTAAAAAGAAAACCATACTTTCAAGATTTTAATGAAAAATATGGTGATGAAATAAACAAAAAATAATCAAAAATAGTAATACTGTTGCTCTAACCAACTAAGTTACCTCACAGGTCAATGGAAGAGTCACAGACCAACTTTGCTACAATTGTATCCAAGATGAAATTAAGGGAAACAACTCTATATACAAAATAAACTCAGTGCAGTGGGACAGGGATCCTTAAAACTATGATCCAGCAATAAGAGTAAGTGGTTTATGTTATAGTTGGTTAGTTTACTCACCATCCCCCCCCCCCTCCGCAAAGTTTCATTATGAACTATTCCAACATTTGAATTGGAAGAGTTCAAATGTGTCAGCAGGGGTGCATGAATTAATACAGTGATATTGTCAGGATGTGGGATGAGTCAGGCATGCTGACAGATATAGAGTCAGCAGAGTTGATGACGAAAAAAGTTTATTGACAGCTGTTGTACAAGGCTACAGATGTGAAGCATAAAATATAGTTTGATCACAAATTTTGCTTAAACTACCTGTAAGTGTTATAATCTTTTTCTAAATTTTGCATAAATATTGCATGTTCGTATAGGTTTTCTAACTGAGAGATGGGCGTGAGGATAGGGATGATAGATAGACGTCATGGT